CCTTTTCACAGAAGTTAGCAATTTCAATATTCTATTCCATTTCAACAGAATTAAGCATTCAGTAAACAGTAATCAAGCAAAAAGAAGAGACCTTAGAGGTCATTTTATGAAAAAAAATTATTTAAAAAAAAAAAAAAAGAGAAAGAACTGAGAAAGCTATTGTCAGTGAACAGATGCAGCCACTTACACACATGAATTACACCTGAATGATCAGATTTCACTAACACACAGGAAAGTAGGCAAGAAATCTATAAATATCACAGTCTACAAACAGGTTTCGATAGAAATAACTATCACTGCCCCACCCAGCCTCCTCAGACGAGGTTTTGGGCTGCTGGAAATGCGCCAAGTTTGTACACCCACTTCCAAAATTTGTATCCTGTCTAGCCTCCTTTTCACTGTAAGAAAACACAGATACTAGATGTCTTAGGGAGTATAAAAATCAAATCTGTACATATACACCACATATGAGAAACACTTACAAAACTGCATGTAGTCACTTGAATGAATTTTTACAGTTAGCAAAATATATATATACATGTCCATACAGAGTATTATGTCACTGCGTCATACTAACTGAGAGTCAGCTGAGGTTACCTTTGGAACTGAATTATCATTATAAAAGCAAAGTGTCATATAAAAGCCATGAAATTCCATACACTCAGTGTCTAGAGTATCTTGATCGGAGTGACAGTAAATGATGTGGCTGGTTCAGTTCAACTCAGCGCAGCTGGAGGGCTGTTGCTATATATAATCAAGCTATCTCTGACTGTATGAGCCATTCCATCAACTGCAGAATATCAGCGTCACCTTTCAGAATTGCTCCTCGTCAAGGCCAGAGGACAATAAATGCAGTGTAAGCCTAGTTTGCTGATTCATGGCGTGATCTCATTAGATCTGAGCCCAAATTGCTGCTTAGAAGGTGAGGGAAATACAACATACTGCAAATGCAATGCAAAGATGATATGACTAACTTGAATAAATGAGCTAAGTGTAAAGAAGGCAGTAATACCAGACGACTTGACTCAGAAGATGGCTTGATCACATCAGAAATCTGTTTAGTCAGAAATCGTTTTGGAGGATTCAGCCAACTTCCCCCTTGAGAGAAGTCTCTAAGGCAGAAGTATGTTAACCTCTTGCTTTGTGCCCAACAAACGCACCAGTTGCTGAGGAAATACTATTTTCATACAACCCCATATTCCTCACAGAGGATGCATGTAGGAGTATAGCAAAGGATGCTGCTTCTGAGCAGTACGGTCCAGTGCAGAGAGAGAAGAGCCAAGTTATCCCATAAACAAAAGAAGAATTTTATTTGTCCAGAATAACAGATGATTCTTTATCTTTTTTAGGACAATCAAAACTACAACACTCTGCTATAAGTAAGACCAGTTTCAGTTCAGCTTTAACCTGTCTTTCTCGCACCAGAACTGGAAAAGATCCAAGAAGACAGAGACTGCTATTATTGAGCACTTACATTATCTCCTTATGGCTGAAAGCATTGTATAGGAGAGGGAGGATCCTTAATTGCTTACATGCTTTTAAAAAAGTAGGAAGACACACAAAACAGATACATACTATGAAGAAATATGTTCCCACATTACCACTGCCTTGCTAAATTCCTGCCACCTTGCACATTACTAGGTAACACTATCTTTGTGCTTACTTTGTATGAAAGAAAGATTTGAATGAGAAGGAAGGGATAAAAGGCTGTTAAAAGTATTTTAGCACCTCATCCATAACTATGATGGTCTCAGCAGATATATCCACTAAATCTCATGGTTATGAGATTATACCTCAGAGCAAAGCTTATTTCAAGAGCGCTTATCATCATCAGATCCACCTGCTGAAGCGATTCAGCATACACCTAATGTTCTAATCTACTTTTTGCTTTCATTCAAGAGTGCTGGTCAGGGATGGTAGGACAAGGAAATCAACAAAAAGTAGCTTATTGAAAGGAGAATGAAATTTAAAAGTTACTAGATTATTTTCTTGACTTGGTTAGCCGATTCACCAAACCAGTAACAAAACAACAACAAAATCCCAGTAGGATTAACTCTGTAAATAATAGGTGAATATGCAAAAAGCAAGATTTCTAAGTCCTGCCACTTCAATTCCACCTGCAATTATATATACACAAATAGATATGTATATAGAACATAAATATAAATATATATATATATGTAAAGTCAACTCTTAACTCTTAGCATTAGGAGTTTCATTCCCTACACATCAAGAACTTTGTAAGCAAAGACATGTGAAGTCCAACTCATCTGAACCATATTTCTTACTGCTCTGATGAGCATTCATGAAGTTAGTCACCCTTTATAGCATGGGAAATATACTATACTACTCCAGCAGCCTAGCAGTCTGAAAATAATGGTTATAAAATAAGTAATCAGAGTCTTAACACCTTGTATCTTCTTACCTAGAAGTATAAAGAATTACAAGAGCACCTGTATTAGATTTCTTAAAAAGCAAAATAGAGATATTACATTGATGTTACAAACACTATAGTACAGTCATGGATATAAAGTAGACCTTTGGGTTTTTTTAAAATGTATTACAGAATCTATTTTTATTTTTTCTTTAGCTACTACCATTGAAACTGTTACACATCTGCAAGAGCATGTTCCAGGATGTAGCATATTCAACATCAGTCATCTACAACTTGAGTTCTGAAAGGAAAAAATGTAGCTGTTTTAATACACAGAAGAATGAAAAAAAAAATCAATTTTAAAGATATTCCTCTCTTTTCCTCTTCCAATTGTATAATTGCAAGCCCTTTAACTGATGATGTGCATGAAACACTTCTGTGGCTCCCAATGAACAAAGCACAGAAATCTGACAAAATCAATTACAAATGAGCAATAATAAGGCTTGATCTTTACTCCATTCAAGTCAAGTACAATCCCCCTGCTTTGATCAGTGGAAGCAGGTCCTGTCATTTTTGCTCAGCCTGCTTTAATAAAATGCTCTGCATGAAAAGTCAAAATTGCTGTGTGGATTAATCACACACAAAACAGCCTGATCCTACTTTCACAGTAGAGTTTTGCAATTGATTTGAAATTAAAAAGGAAAAAATACATACATAAGTAATTGTTAATGAAACATTTTGGGACGTCTCTTAGCTACTATCAGGCTGGCAGAATGCATTTCTAGATATAAATTTCAAAATTAGTCTAATGAATACAAGAGAATTCTGAAAGACGTACTGATTTTCTCATCCGTATAACTAACACTTAAAAATATAATGTAATGCAAGATTGAAAATTGAAAATTAAAAATGTAAATGAATGAAGAAAAGTAACCAAAGGAAGTAGATACAGACTACTAAATAATCAGAGGAGCTTCTATGATGCTAACAACAGCCACACTGAAAACAGCAGAAATCTGAATCTAACTTTAGGCTGAAATTGTCTCCCTGACTAACTGTTCCTCCATCCAAACGCAGCCCTGCTGTGATACATATTGCAGCTCAGATGGCAAGAGATGCAACATCACGCACCCGCTTTCAGTGCTCAAAAGTACATGTTGTACAGACTGTAAAGAAAAAAAATAATTATTTGATATTATCTAAATAATACTCATAATTGTACTCAGTACTTAAATTGTAACTCTATTACAGTATTTAACTCAAGTGTTTCAATTAACTTTTGATAACCTCAGATTTTCAGGGAGATGATAACTTTCATTGTCTTTTTTGGTAAATACGTAGAGCAACACAGAAGTTAAAAACAGCCCATGACAGCTTATTTTTCAAAACAAATATGGTCTTCTCAACTGAGCTAGGAAAACAGGCAGGTTTTTCACAAAACAACATCCCAAGTGCCATATTCTAAGCAGGGAGAGGGAATTCTTAGGATTGGTGGAGTGGTACCTGGCAGATCAGTTATTTTATAATTTTTAAAGCATCTTTACAGCCTTTCTCTGGCATGTAGTAACTACTGGTCTTTATCTTCCTTGACTATCCTAATAGCATACCTAGGAAGACAGCACTTAAAACATGTAGGTGTTGGCATAAGGAATCGTTCTTTTGTTCTCTGCTGTTGAGGGAACACCACCTTTGCCAGGCGGCGCAGCAGCGTTCGCAAGCGAGCACCCACTTGGATTCAGCCGCCTCCCTGTGACAGGCGGCCCCTGCACGGGAACACTCACAGAAAATAAACAGTTACTGCTGACCGATCATTAGCCTGACGTATTGTGTTTAAATATACGTGTATACGTATTTATATGTTTGTGAAACGTGTATTTTGAGTTCAGCAACCTGGGAGTACAAGGAGTTTGGTTCAGTGATGAACAGCGTCTAGCGCGTCTCACCACTGAGCTCCCACATCCTGACAGCACCGGGAGTGTTCCGACACAGGACCGCTCGCACCGATACCACTCGCAAGGGCCACGCACAGCTCTGCTCAGCCCCGCTGCAGCCCTTACCCCGGGCTGCTGCTCCCCACGAGCTGCCCTTTCCCACCGCACGCCCACGGTGTCCCCGTCCGCGCAGGGGACAAGGTGCGGGCTTCGCCCCGGTTAACTCTGGAGAGCGGCCCTGCGGTGGGGAGACACGGGCAAACTCTCCTGTCGGTACCGCTTCCCCCCGCCCCTGACCTTCCTGCGGCGCTGCCCTGCGGGGGCCGGACAGGACCCCGCCGCAGCCCGCGGGTCGCACAGGTGCTGGAGGGCCCCTCTCGCCGTGCCCGCCGCGGCCGGCGCAGGTGGAGGGAAGGCTGCGCCCATTCCCGGGCAGACCTCGCCTCCTAGCGCCCGCGCCGGGCCGCGCTGCGGGCACCGGGAACGGCGCGCCGGCTGCCTCCCGAGCCCCTCCACCTTCCCGCATCGGGCCCACTGCGGGACCGACCGAGGGGGCAGGGAGAACGTACGGGCCCTGCAAGGCCGGCACAGAAGCAAAGCTGGGGAAAGACGCCGGGCTGACAAGGATCCCCGGCTGCCCCTGGGCCCGCCCAGCCCAGCCAAGCCCGGGGCGGAGCGGGGGGGCTCGGCGTTACCTTTCGAAGAGCAGCCGGATCATGAAGATGCAGAAGGCCAGGGGGAAGGCGAGGTAGAGGTCCTCCGCCTGCGGGAAGGAGGCTTCCTCCGTGCTCTGCAGGTCCGCCCAGGTGACGTTGTGCGGCAGCCAGAACCGCTCGTTCCAGAACCAGGCGAGGATCCCTGCCATCTTTGCTTTGTCTGCCGCGGCGCCCCCCGCTCCGCTCCGCCCGCGGCGAGGCGCGTGTGAGCGGCTGCCGGGGGAGAGGAGGATGGAGGCGTGTGTCAGCCCCGCAGCCGCGGATGATGCTGCCGAGCGCCGCCGTGCCGGTTCCCCGCCCGGCGGGGGCAGCGGCGGCCCCGCCTGCCACACGGCCACGCCGGCCCCCATTGGCTCCCGCCCGCGCCCGCCGCTGTGGGGCTGCCCCGGAGCCGCCTTCCCCCGCCCCTCTTCCCGTGCCAGCAGACCTCACCGAACCGCGAAACACAAGTGAGCGGCCCGAGTGAGCGGGGACCCCGTCCTTGGGGCACTCAGCGCGGCCGGGGCTGCCGGCACCGGGCGCAGCCTCCGCCTCAGCGCCGGCCCGGCGCCCCCCCGGCCTGGCAGCTCTGCTCCGTGTCACCTCCCGGCCGCCGCGGCCCTCGCTACCTTCGCCGCCCGGCCAGGCTCCCGGCGAGCCTCGAAAGGCTGTCCCCCGATTGCAATTGGCAGGTGGCAGCAGCGAAAAGCCTCCCTCTGTGAACTCTGCACAGCCACGCGGAGTAGGGGCAGCTGCCTCAGCTTGGTCCCCGCGAGTGACCCCTGCCCGAAGCGCTGCTCCTGAAGCGTTTAACCGGGAGCGAGGCTGTCCCGGATGGAAGGACCCTCAAACGTTCAATGACTTCACCCTGAACGCGAGTGCAGGCGTAAATGAGGCATGGAAAAGCGTCGGAAAGCACGCGACTGGTCAGCAACAAAATTGAGGTTAGGACTGTGGCTTTGCACTCACGGCTAAAGAAAACCTTTTTGTTTTTTACATAGGTTTTCACTTTCGATTCCTTATCTCACTGCCGTGTCCCGCTAAAGATATACTGCGAGAGGAAAACTGTAATTGATTCCACTATACTTTACCGCAAAGGTGTCTAGCGGGCTTTAGTGTAGCTATAGCCACAGGACTATACACATGGTGTTCTAAGCACGCACATTACTTCAAGTAGTAGGTAATACCACTCCAGTAACATCACTGTTTTGTCTGCCCTGCTTCAGTTTGTTTTAAATGGCTTACGTTTCCTTCTCTTGTATCATCATCCTCTCCAGCTGGCTATTGAATACTAAGAAAGACAGACTTCTGCACATGGCATACTTCAGTCTTACCATCCTGCTTTTATATTTTCTGCTAACTTGTTCTTTTCACTCCACTGGCTCTCTTTGCCCTTCCTGAAAAATTAATTGCACGGCTCCTCATGTCTGTGCTGACATTTCTGTGGTGAATAAAATTATAACTCAAACTTAGTGCTATGGAAAGCTCTCCACTAATTCAAAGAAAGATATCAGTTTCTGTATATGGACATCATTTCCATCTAGGACATTTCAGGAAATGCTTTGGCAGGATGGCTGAGTAGCCATGTGGGTAAACCTGCCACTGAATGTTTCTGTTTTATTACTGAACCAATTTCCTAAGTGTCTGTATTATTATTCTGATTCAGTTTTTGTGGTTGCTTCTTGGGGAGAAAGAGAAGAGCTGGTAGGTGGAGCCTGCTCCATGAACACCTAGTACTTCAAATTGTCTGAAAAAAAGTTTGAGTTCTAGCACCACTGCCAGATCTGCCTGTCCCCATCTCTTACTTCACTGCATCTCAGGATTCTTCTCTGACATGAGCTATCTGTCAAAATCCAGGGCTTTGCTGTAATTTCAGTTCCCTCTTGCCGCAGACCATGAGTTGCACACCTCAAATGCATCCTCCTTCATTTACAAATAGGACTTCCTGTGCAGAAGAAAACATCTCTCTGCTCAAATCAGCAAGACCCCTTTTAGCCAGTACCAAAAACTGGCTACTGGTTTCTTCTGGCTCCCATCTCGCTTCCTCCTAAATTCTCTGCCTTGTTCTCACAGCCAGATTTAACCCCTCTTCAAACCCCTCTAGAATTCCTCTAGAATTTCCCCTGGGAGCTTATCTTTCAGCACTCATCTCAGAAACACCTGACCTGGCTCCTGCACATATAAACGTGCTTCTCAAAGCATCCAAATCACTCAGTTTTCTGAGTGGACTTGCATAAGTCAGTTTTAAATTATGTGAGTGCATGTCCTCAGAATGACTTCAGAAGCATCAGCTTTAAAATCTGATGAAAGCTCTTTAGATATCATTTCAATATCTGACACACATATAGTATTTTTACATAAAATATATTCATTAATGATAATTGTGTTTAAGGCAAAGTTGTTTTTAATCAGAAAATTGCTATCATTATTCTGTACCAGAAGGTGACATGTCTTTTTACAGCCTATTTCAATATTCCAATCACTTTAGAAGTACATTCAATATTTATGTCTGTTTGCATTCCAGCGAAGTAGTTGTTTCACACTCAGTACTGAGACTCATGGGTGCTGCTGCTTGGCTTTGCTTATGTACAGATACAGGAAAGGAACAGACCTTTGCAAAATGAACCTGGCAACAGTAATAATCTGATGATGCATAAGAGGTCAATTCCTTTTGAACAATTAGTGTAATGACTTCTGTGACAGACTAAAATTATGTTAGGACAATAGATCTGAAAATGAATGACAATTCTGAAATGTTTGGAAGGACAACCAATTAAAAGCTTTTAATTGAATTCAAACTGTGGAAGCAATTGCGTAGATGTAGCCAAGTTATGACTGTGGAATGAGGATGCCTGAGTATTGTACTTTGAAGGGAGATACTACCATGGTGGGTTTTTTCCTACCCCCTAAAATTGTTATATCACAAAACGGAGCCAAAGAAAACTTTAAAAAACATGGTTTCATATGTGGTCTCATATCCTGAAGGAACTTACTCCAAGGTAGTGCTAGAACTTGGCTGGCCTAAAAAATGTAAAGGACTGAAAGTGAGTCTGGTTCCTCAAAAACCCAGCCTGGGCACTCTGTAGTTACTAACAAGAGTTAGTAATAATTAAACAAAAGGTACTGAACTTCTGTTTCCACTCTGAAAAGAAAAAGAGAAAACTGACAGGCTGCACATATTCAAGACCTTGAGCAATCAGCAGAGTGGACACTGTAAAATGAAGGACTTCTTTGTTTATGTCTTGTTTATTTGTTTAGCATCAAGAGCCAGGTTATTTAGAAATAAAATTACTTTTCTTAGTCTAATGAAGTTCCTCCTTCAGGCTTAGAACAAGCGTACTGAATGCATTTTCACACAGCAGAAGACTCCATTTGCTCACCAGCCTCATTTCTGCACACAGCGATGAAGTTCCAGTAGCCTCTTCACATCAGACTAGGAGATAGAATAAAATATGTGACACTTTCAAATTTAGCATTGTTTTAACACATGAAAATCCAGAAAGTTTTCTGGAAAGTTTAAATTTAATTTAGGGGTTTTTTTAAATAAATATTAAACTGCTTAAAATATGCAGTGATTCATGCTGTCTTAGGCTTCCACACATATATAAACACACACACATACACAAAGCATAGATTAAAAATAAAAATAAGCAGTAGTGAGACATTAAGATAAGAGAGTTGCTTAAAGTAATGGGAATCCTAAGATATCAGGACAATGTTCCAATAAGTATTGCAAAAACTGCATAGAAAATCAGCATGTTGTTTAAAGTTGGCTGTTTGGCATAGAAATGCCATTTAAAGTTTTCAGGCAAATATGGCTTGAGTTACAAGCTCATAACAAAACCTTGGAGGCTTCGTTCAAGGATATTAACAGGAATCTTTCTTACTGGGAGTGTTTCAAAAGCAGCTTTACTAGCGTGCAGTGGGCAATAGCTCACTATTTCTGTTTACCTGTCATGGTTTATTTTTCCATCTGCAGTCAGCAGGAGTGTGTATCACATCTCTAAACTGCTTTGAGCGAGTTTGGTAATGTGTATTATCAACGTGCTTGTGCCATATTGCTGGGACACCTGGAGGAATTCGTTCACCAAAACAGGAAAAGTTGCAGAAAAACCTCTTGATTTTAAAGAACTGCTGAAGAACTAATTGAAAGCAATCAGACAATTTTTTTATCTCATTTAGTCTGCTGTAACTCTGGAATAGTAACTCTGGAGTAGACTTACATGCAGGTGTCATAGTTCCAATTTTAGCGGGAACTGTGATCAGACTCTGGACCAGTCCCTTTAATGAATCGGATAGTACAGGTGCCAATAACACTATCCACTGAGACTTCTCGATATCCAAATCTCAACTGGGTTGTTCTTAAGGAGGAGAGGTGGCTATGGCTGATCCCTGTAAAAGCAGTGATGCCAGTCCCGTTTCCGTAGGTCTGTGTCACTGGACTGCTGATATTGTGCCTAGCAGAAGGGCCAAGAACTGCCTGGGTGTTGTGGGACTGCTCTGTGCCCTCCTGGGGAGGATGGAGGACCATGGGCACAGGGGAAGTGGCAGTGCAAGTCATGACTTTGAGCTGTCATTCTTCTAACATGTCTTCTGCCTGCTGGTCCCAGCAGTTCTTGTGCTCCCTTCCAGTTTCTTGTGCTACTACTTTGCCAGCTTCTCTAATAATTTTGTTTGAGAAACACACTAACACACCAGCAGTCTTCATTACAAATGCTATGCTGGGCCAGTCAAATCAGTCTTGACTCTGCATGGGGTTGTATTAGTCTGAAGAGACCAGTCTGGCTTTACCCAATTACCAAACAACGTGCCCTGAATTCAAATCACTAGCTGAGCTCCGTGTAATAGCACTTAAAATACATCAGTACAGTAGGTGTCCCCAGGTTATATCACTCCATAGCCTTCCAAATGTTTTATCTTGGCAGACAAACAAATTTTGTCACTTGGAAAGACATGCAATGGTAATTAGTTTGGCTGCTGTGAAAAGATATGCGGACAAGTAGCTTTAGCTGAAAGAAAGTTTTATGAGCCTTGAGACAGTTTGTGCTTTGTGCTGGGCTTCTATTAAAGTCAAGATCTGAAGCAGAACTGCTCTATGAGGACCGGTCAGAAGGAGAGGAGGAAGCAGGAATTGCTAGATTCACTGTATGTCTCCATGCTTCATTTGTCTTCACTGTTCACTTTGGTTTGTCTTCCTGCTCTAGATTTTTAAAGAAAGCATGCCAAAGTGTACATACAAATTATGATACTATCATAGTTCACTTGATTTCAATGTCACTTAACTACATGAACTTATGCTAT